ACTCGTGAAATTTATTGATACTTCTAAATATAGGATCATATCGAACGTCCCTACTGTCAAGATGTATAAACCCAGGTACCGACGGAGCTATGTTGTGGCGACATGGAAATAATTTAAAATTTTCATTTGCATTTTTTCAAGTGTTGTGCAATGATTTTGGGAAAATGTCCCGAATAGTCTTGTAAAGCATAGTAGAGTATATTTCAACAGTTGGCGGAACTTACTCCACTGGGACCGGGAGGGTGAAACGGGATATTAATGCACAATCTGGCAACCATGTTGCACCCTAACACAATGGCCGCTGACAACCACACAAGTCACCGTGTTGTCATTGAATAGCATGGAATTAAACCTTCAGAGTATATGGTTTGTGACTGGTACCAAGAGTTGACAGATCCCTCACCATGTGTCACTCCTTAAAATGCAATAATCAGCTGTATTCAAATAATGTCTAATATAAATATAACTTAGAATGCGTACCCGTGAAAAAAGAAAAATATGGCAAATTTGTAGTTTTGTTTGCAAGTTTGTTCAGTTCCTGAACAATGCAAAATGTTCAACTTTATGGATGTATGGACATCAAAAAACATGTATGGTTTTGTGGGAATATCAATCTAAGGTGCCATAATGGTTCTGATGAACGGCAAGTAAATGAATGAATGTTTGGAAACGAGCAACATCTTTTGGTAGAGCCTGTCATCAAGTACGTGCTTAATGGCTATCTGCAAGAGGCTTATAGGACAAAACACCCAGTATCGCATATCAATTGAAGAAAATAATATAAACATGGATAAAAAATCAACAATAGTAATTGAAACATGAATCTTACTAAGAAATCCAACATTTCTTTAAATTTTGACTGAATTATAGGTATGTAATTTCTTAATATTCAATAAACTGGTGACGTTTCAATGACAAGCTCTCATCTCATACTTTGACAGTATTTTGTTTTCAACATTTCATAGCTATTGGTTGCTAAAATTTGTTGATTGGAACTTGAAGCTCATTCGTTGTATTTGACGCTCTGTTACCCTATAGGTGGAGAATAACGGACTGTTGTTGGTGAAATTGGTCCTTAGTCTAACATATGGAAGAGCTAATCAAAAGAAGTTGATATAACAAAATTCACCTTTATAAAGTTGCATAATGAAAAATTATTAAAACAAATCATCATCAAGTTAAATGGATATTGTTGTTACAAAATCTGTTCAAAATTGTCCCTATTTGTTCGGTTAATCAACGACCCTTTACAAGCTTCAAAAATAAAATCCTGGTGACCACGAATTAACAGGTATTTTCAGTCCCTCCAGAATATTTACTGCTCCATAATGATACAGCAACTTTTTTAAATAGCCCCACGTAAAAAAATCGCAAGGCGTAAATCCGTGGAGCGAGCAGGCCAAGAAAGGGTCCATTGCCCCATCTATCCGGAAACTCATTATTTAGATGTTCATGAACTTCTCGTTTAAAATGTGGTGGAGCCCACGTATTCTGTCTCACATTTAAAGGAAAATCTTCTAGTAACTGTGGTAGATTGTGTCGATGAAATAAATTTCACCGGTCAGTCGAAGTGGAAAAAAGTAGGGTCCAATAAGCATGCCATTTACCACGTCAGCCCAAACATGTAATAAAAATCTATATAATAATAATAATAATAATAATAATAATATTTATTTACTCTAAAATACAGGGAACATGAAACGAGTAAATAAATATAATATATCCATAGGAGGACAACGCCTGTGCATGGATCATATGTATGTTGAATTGCAAAATATAATAAAATAGAGATAAAAAAGAAATTATTGGTAAGAATGGTAGAGCATTTATTGTGTAATATTTGAGATTATTTTATTAATTTGATTTCTCCCAATCGTGTTAATAAATTTTTTTTATTTTTTTTTTGAAGCTTAATGTATTGCGTAATTGTTTTAAATTATTTGGTAAATGTTCGTACAATTTTGGAGCTATATACAGGTGACATCGTTTCATTAGGGATTTGTTTGGTTTAGGAACATTTTTTGCGCGTAATTTATATCTGGTTTTATGATTATGTTTAATTATGTCGTGTTCACTAATAGTTTTGTGATAATGAGTAATGGTATGTAAGAAGTAAAGTTGTTTAGTATCATATACTTGTGCATCATTATATAAGTCATTAGTTGGGTATAATTTTGATTTGCCTAACATTGATTTTAAAATTCTTCTTTGAAGTACATCTAAATCGTTAAAGTATGTCGTGCATGCAGCACCCCACACTACTATACCATATGTTATGTGTGGCTCGACTAAAGCTTGATATATTATTCGTAGATAATATTCAGTTAATATACCGGTTAGAAATTTTATTTTATATGCTATGAATCTAATTTTCTTTAGTATGTGAGAAATATGTACATCCCATGTCAAGTGGGGATCTAGATAAATTCCTAAATATTTTGTATCATTAACTCTATTGATTTTTATATTTTTATCATTTACCTTAAACCGAAGGTGGTTATATTTTGGTAGATGGTTAGATAGTGATGAAAATGGTAAAAAATGAGTTTTAGTAAAGTTAATCGTTAATTTTCGGTTATTAAACCACTGAATAATTTTGCAAAAGTCATTTTGGATAATATCCTTTAAGTCGTTCCAATCCTTACCTTTATAGAGTATAGCAGTATCGTCTGCAAAACTGACTATTTTACCAGTACTGTTAATTTTGAATATATCGTTTAAATAAATATTGAATAACAGAGGACCCAAAATTGTACCTTGTGGAACACCACATTTAACAAACATTTCTTTACTATACGAGCTTAATAATTTTACTGATTGCGGTCTATTTGATAAATAATTTTCCATTAAAGTATACATCTTTCCACGAAAACCTATTCTTTCTAAGATTTCCAAAAGTATATTGTGGTTAACTGTGTCAAACGCTTTTTGTAAGTCCACAAATACGCATATCGATGGTACTTTTCCATTTATATTTTGGGTTATTTCATCTACTATACTTAATACCCCATCTGTTGTAGATTTGCCCGCTATAAAACCATATTGATTTGAATTTAGAATTTTGAATTTATTAAGAAAATTAATCATTTTATTAAGGAGTAATTTCTCAAAAACTTTAGCTAAACTTGATATAAGTGAAATAGGTCGATAGTTAGTGACGTCCGTATTATCATTAGATTTATAGATAGGTATGATGATTGCTGTCTTGAAAGCTGATGGAAATACTCCAGATTGGAAGGATTTGTTAATGATATAAGCAAGTGGTTCTGTTATTTGTTTGGCCAGTATCTTTAGATGTTCAGCTCTAATTTCGTCAACTCCAGGGCTTTTTTTATTTTTTAGAGTCATAATGGCATTGAAAACATCCTGATAGTCTACTTCAGTTAATACAAATGAATTATTCAGTCTTGTTTCATGCAGATGAATATCAGCATTTTGTTTGATATTATTTGCTAAGTTTCCTCCTATATTCGTGAAAAATTCTATGATCTCATCACATATTTGCTGAATATTGTCTGTTTTCTGTCCTGTTTTTGTTTTTATTTCATTAATATTGTTTTTTGAATAGGATGACTCATTGAATATATCATTGACAGTGGACCATAGGTGTCTAGAGTCATGTGAATTATTATTCAATTGTTTTATATAGTAATTTTTTTTTGTTTTTCTCAAAAGTTCTATAAATTTGTTTTTATACTGGTTATAATGATCTATATTTTCTTTTTTATTGAAAATACATCATGCGGATTTTCTACTGCCCAAATATGATTGTTGTGGAAATTGTGCACTCCGTTTCGTGTAAATGTGGCGTCATCTGTACACAAAATCAATTTCGTAAAATCTTCATTTCCGCAAAATGCAACTCTTGTACCCGTTAACATTGATAGGAATAATACTGTTCCTGTTGCACTATGAGAAACGTCAAGTTGAGCTGCCATGGCTCTAGTACTCATTGCTGGGTATTCTTTGACCATTTATAAAATGTCTTCCTCAATTTGTAACATTGCTGATTGAGCAGGTCTTCCAGCGTGACCTTCTTGTTGTGCTTTTAAATATCCTGTGTCACGAAGTATAATAACTAAATTTACAAACATTCGTGGGGCCAGATGATTTCTTAAACTAAACCTTGCCGCATACAACCTGCATGTGCGGCTGTTTCATTGTTTTTAGTAAATATGGGCCATTTTTGGCACAAAATAGTCAGACAAATGAAAGTATACGCACTATCAAAAGACTGATACAACTGATAATACCAAAGGCTCGTACTGAAAACCATACAATAACACAAACAGTTTGCCAAATTTAGATAAACGAAAAGAGTAGTAAACAAAAAATTCTAAGATCTTACAAGACAGTGGTCGAGAATATCAAAAAATATGCTTAATAACATTATTGTTTGTTCAAATGTTTAATCTTTTACTATTTGTTTCATTATGCAACTTTTATATAGGTGATTTTCGGTATATCAACTCCTTTTGAGGAGTCCTCCAAGCAGTTAAAATAAATGACTCCACTTTGAAAACACCCTCTACACCAACTATCAGTAGTCGAGGAAAACGGATACTAGAGACGGAGCTGGGAGGATGCGTTCGCAAATATTCACAAGTGTTCATTAGGGTGATTGAACGCCACGAGGAATATGTTAGTTGATGCATAAACAGAGTATCCAGACCGAAACTTGCTATCCCAATTTGTTACAAGCATGAAAGAAATCTGTTGCTGTTGTTGTATGTAGGTCAAGTTCGATCTCACGGTGAACGAAAAATTTTCTCGCTCTTGGGTGTTTTTTTTTCATCAATATAAGTACGATCTTAGGGTTGCGTTATGTTTGTTTGTCATTTTGGGAGTTGTATATTTAATGTTATCAATCACCTGTAGCTTGCGCTACATAAGTGCCTTAAGGCCGGTCCAGACACTACGTCTTATCAAACGATAAAACGGTCATACAAATTGTTCGACAAAACGTACAAAATATAGCGCGGCCACACGTTTACAACTAATCGGCCAAATTTTAGCTTTGCGACGTTTTCAGTCATGGAAGAAGCACTTCTTTGGTCGTCCTATGGTATTTGTATTGCGATAAAAGGCAGAAATAAACGAAAAAATCGAAGATTAAGATGGTCGAGGGAATGGTTATTAAAAAGACAGGAATTTTCTCATGTCAGGATATTACGTGAACTTGAACCAGATGATTGGCGTAATTACCTGAGGATGGACACTGAAACATACAACCATTTGTTAAAATCTGTTACTCCTTACATTGAAAGGCAAAATACCTGTATGAGAAAAGCCATTTCAGCTCATGAGAGACTTAGTGCCACGTTAAGATTTCTTGCCACAGGAAGAAGCTACAAAGACTTGGAATTCACCACCATCATGTCCAAGCAATCACTGAGTGAAGTTATACCGGAAACGTGTGACGTTATTTACAGGGTTTTAAAAAAAGACTTCCTAAAGGTGAGTTTTGGAAAATCCTTTTATAAGAAATAAACTAAACGTTAGTGAAGAAAAGTAAAAAATAAAAAAAACGTCTTCCATAATACACTACCAATAATTAATTTAGTGATGACACGTTTTTGATTTCTTTAAACACCCTCATTAGGTTTAAAATTTAAAACATACTGAACAAGATCCTTGGGATTAGAATCTGTGTCCTTTTCTGAAACTGTGGTTCGATAGTCTGAAAGAGTAAAATTTGTGTTAGCGGGTTCCTCCGGTGTGGTTGAATTATGAATTAGTTGTAGCTGTTGGACATGTGCTGTTCTTGACCGATTTCCGGTACGTAATACCCTTGACGCCAGCCTTGACTTGAAATTTGTCTATTTGGTTCGGTATTGGTGACACAAGGTGACGCATATTGGTTAAAGTGTGGCTTTCTGGTTTCTCGTGGAGACTGTTGAGGAGGGTGTTGGTCTTCAGTTATTATTTTGGAATATCTATTTAAGGATAATATGTCTGCCTCAAATAAAACATCAGAGATAAGTTTCATTGCAAATTTAAGTTGATCAGGATGAACTGATCGAAGTCTATCAGCGACATGTTTTCCAAATCGGTCATGTGAATCTTCCTGCAATAAGTCCAATTTTTTATTAATTTTAGACATAACTTCGGCTGTTTCGTTGTTATTTGAGGCCGCCTTCTTTTTGCGATTTACAGTGCGTGTAGGTAGCAGGGCACTGGTAGCGGTATCACTAGTCGGAGTAGATGGCCGACCTGTAGATGGTGTAGCAGGAAAACTCTGATAATCCAAGTCAACCTGAAACAAAAAAATATTACAATTTTATAATACAACAAAAATACAACCGTAAATAAAATGTATAAAAAAACTTAAACATGTTTAATTCAAAACAAAATTCCATCAACTCATTTAAGGTTCCATTTTTTAAATGTTATCGCTAAAATTATTAAGCGATAAGAAGTTTACAAGTTACTATAAAGGTAAGAATAATGTAATCTTTTTTGTTTTAGTTTCCAAAAAGCGAACAGGAGTGGTTACAAATAGCAGCCGACTTTGAAAAAAAAAATGGCAATTTCGGCATTGTTTGGGTAGTATTGATGGCAAGCATATCAGAATTGTTCCTCCCAAGGGAAGCGGATCATATTACTTTAGCTACAAAAAGACGCATAGCATAGTTCTTATGGCAATTGCTAATGCGAACTGTGAGTTTATCTACTGCGATGTTGGCACAAATGGTAGAATCTCTGATGGTGGAGTAATTGCTAATACCACATTTTATGAAAAACTAGCCTATAATAATCTAAAACTTCCTAATCCGGAATCTATGCCCAATTCTAACGAAATTCTTGGATATACGTTTATTGCAGATGAGGCCTTTGCAATGCGTTCCGATCTTATCAAGCCATATAGTAGGGAAACACTCAATAGAGAATGAAGAATTTTTAACTACCGGTTATCAGAGCCCGACGGACTATTGAAAATACTTTTGGCATTTTATCGTCCCGATTTCGAGTTTTCTACACTGCTATAAATTTAAAGAAAGAGAACATTGACAAGGTTGTTCTAACATGTTGTGCATTACATAATTTCCTTCGCAGGAAGTCTCCAGAAAATTACACACCCCCAGAAAGTATGGATAGAGAAAATATTCCTGCAGATTATTCTCTTGCGTTAGGAGACAGGTGTGACCCTAATTTAATGCATGACCTTCAAAGAGGAAGAAGAGGCTAAATTTTTAATGATGCAAAAATAGTTAGAGAAAAGTTCTGTGAATATTTTAACAATGAGGGCTCAGTCCCATGGCAAGATAATTTAGTTTTTCAATAGGTCATAGTTTGTATAACATGTTATAAAAAGAGAATTCTATAATTCTGGGCAATAAAATGCTTTCAATACCTATATAATGTAGTTTTATTATTAATAAATAGACATTACTTACCTCTTTTTCACTTTCCTCTTGATGTGCCTCATCATCGATAGTGTTTGTCGACTGTCTTATTTGATCTTGGTCATTCAGAAAGTCAGTAAATCAAAATACCATAACGTCGGGTTGTAGATATCATCTTCACCAGCACCACTTTTTGTGGATTTCATTATTTTGGCACGCTCTTTTTTTAAACGGTGCGTAAAGAGTTAATTTTCTTGGTAACTGTCTCTTTGTTTGCCGCTTCATCAATCTCCTTGTATTTTTTAATCATTATTTCATATGCCTGTGACTTCTTATTCCGATCACTATACTCGGCACTTTTAACTTGCCACAAACAAGGAAAACTACGATAGAGTTCAATAAATTCTCTTAAAAATTGTCGGGAACACTGACGAAGATCAGACATAATGCTTGTAAAGTTTAAAATGCATAATATATTTAAATACGCATACACAAAGTAACACAGTGTGATACATATATACTATGAAAATATACTAAAACAATTTCCAATAAAACCGAAGTCTGTCCACACGCTCCAACTTGTCGAATCAAGTTTCATAAATGATGCCTCGCACTTCAAATTTTCGACTTATCGTACCACCTTATTTCGATCATGCAAGACGTACGTTTTGTGGTCTACACGCGCCGTTTTACTTGATAAGACTTGTCTGATTCGATAAATAGTTTGATAAGACGTAGTGTCTGGACCGGCCTTTATATTAACTGAAGTTAGGGATGGTTTTCAACTATACGGTCTTTAAATCACCAGCGTAAAGAAGAAATTGGCAATGACTGAAACATTATGCGATATCATCCAGGACTCTGGATTTATATTTAATTTTCTACATTTGTTACATAACTTTGAAAGTCGTTGGCTATCAACTGCTTAGACTTTTTCCCCAGTGCCAGCTAAGTGATTATACAATTTGAATTTCTTGTAATATGTTTTCTTCCTCCTTATAGTTTCGATAGTTTCCTGCTTAAAGTAAATGGGATTCAATACAATAAAATGCACAAAAAATGCATTTTTTTCACCAAAAATAAAACTAAGAAATTGTTTCTTATTTATCTTTATACACACCATAAAATTATCACATAAAAAGGATTTAGAATACTCCTGCAAGCAAGAAGTTGATGAAATCTGAAACAATGGACGTGCTACCTTAAAAGAAAGTATATTTTTGTTGTATTTCAAGGTTTGAATTCTCACAAAATGATGATGGAATTTCAAATCCCAGACTATCCTTAAATCTTCAGTTGTCATCTGTCATGGATAGAATAATCTGTCAGGACCAATATTATAGTGACCGTATTCTAGTCTTTTCCGGTTTGCCAATAATTCTCAGTAATACGGTGGAGTACAAGGTAGTAATTTGACCTCAGCATTATGGCAACACTGTGCACATGAAGCACGCCCTAAGACAATTTTATCTGCTATTTTTCCTGAGCATTTAAGTGGCTTGTATTATATGGTCCTTCGAGAAATGAAAACAAAACTAAAAAGGGAAGTTTCTGAAACAAATGAAAAACTTGACTCGAGCCTTACCAGTGAGTGGAAGGAATTATTTCCAAAATTTGGTTACAAAGAGAGTGACTTATTTTGAATGTGATACCGAGTTGTTTTTGTGTTTGTGGTGAATGTTAAATAAATTAAACTGTATCCATCGAAGAAACAAAGTAAAATCAAACATATACACCCGTATTGCACGTGATCAAGAACTTAACAGTAGAAGACGCTACAGGGCCGTATCAAGCTATTGTGACTGATCTTTAAAAAAATGTCGTACAAGATATGTGTTGCTGTAAATTCTATCAAAAGCATAGTAAATTATCAGGAATATACCACGCCTTTCTAATCATATTTCGACATTAGGAATCAGTGCAAAAAATTCTGTATTCACCATTTCAGCAAAATGTTACTAAAACGCACACGAAAAAAACTTGTGGACCATCTCAATTGAAATTGTTCATATTTTATTATTAACTTACATATATACCCAATAATATTTACAAATCAACCTTCTATTCACAATGCAGAGCAAATTTTTTTGAGCAAATAGAAACTACAGACGTAGTAGTAGTAGTACAAAAGTTTATTACAGACTCCATAAAGTTTGTTAGTTTGATTGCTATTAAAATTTACATGAGAAATAGGAAGAAGGTCAAAATGGCACTATTATGCTTTGGAACTCCTAAATTAACCCTAATTTTGTGTAATTATAAATTTGGAATTTCCACATTAATAACTAGAAACTTACACTTTGATTGCAGTCTATAATGAACTTACCTGTCTTGCCAAAAAGCCCGTTAAACTGCCAGTCTTACAATCGACTTATATGCTGTATTCCGAGGAGCTTGAATCATCAGAATTGTTGATGTCAATTATAAGGGGTTCAACTTGGGTGTCAATGATATTGTCCATATTCCACATTTTGGTTTCAACCTTCTCTTGGACATGGTCAATACATGTTCTCCATTTTGCTGGCGTAATTCTATCGACAGCAACATCAAACAGTTTTTTAAGGTCAGAAAACTTAAAATTGCTGTTATTTGACGCCACGTATTGCTTGATGTCGGCCCAAATCAACTCGATAGGATTCAGTTCGCAGTGATAGGGAGGCAGCCTGAGAATCGTTTTATTTTGGTTTTTGGCCATTTCGTCAACAATTTTTAAATTATATTTGTACTTATGTCGCTTGACTATATTTATCAGCTCAGCTTTGACCATTGTTTGGTCGAAGTCGATCTTCTTTGAGACAAGCCACTGTTGAATGTCTGCCTTTTTGGTGGCCATTGTTGGAATTTTTTCCAATTTTCTGGAGTGGTACGGGGCATTATCCATCACAATAATTGCGTTATCATCAAGTGTCGGCAAAACTTTTTTGAACCAATTTTCAAATGAGTTACCATCCATTTCTTCGTGATAGTCTCCAGTTTTTTTGGATTCAAATGCCCACAATGCTTCAGGAACAAATCCATCTACGCTACCTATGTGGCAAATGATCAGGCGTTTTCCCTTGCCTGAAAGTAATTAGTTATTTTACTTCTCAGCGAGCGCACTAAATGACGAAATTGAGCAACTTACTCTTTTTAGGTTAGTGTAGGATAGGGTCTTAGATTAGTTTTTGGGTGAAGGAAATACTCAGAAACTTGGATGAGATAGCAAAACTGAGTTCAGAGCTTCCAAATCATTGATTCGATCAGAAAATGAATTATCTGCATCCAAAAAAGTTCATATACTTCGAAACTTACCTGAAGGATTTTTCAATCCCGTCGAAAGGCCATCTAAAAAAGCCTGCCTTGAGGACCTCACAGATCTGTCTACCCAAACCTTTCCCTGCGTATGCCCCGCGTTTACCCATGTTTCGTCTAAATAATAAATTTTTCTTCCTTCAGCGCGGAATTGCCTAATTTTTCTAAGGTATTCTCTCCTCCAGATAACAATTTCCTCCTTTTCTATCAATAAACTATTCCTTCCTCTTTTCAAAAATCGAAAGTCTAGTTCTTTCAACAGCTTATGGAACGTAGATCTTTTAAAATTTGGCAGGTCCTCATCATCATTCACTTGCTTCAATATTTTATCTATTGTAGGTATTTCATTCCTGAAGAAAAAGTGATGTACTTTTCTTCTAATGGCACTTTTGTCAAAGTCATCTATTTTTTCGATGATTTTTTTTCTCGCTGGATATGTTTTTGGCTCAGATAGTGAGTGATTTTGTCTATATTCCTTCAAGATTTTGTAAACACTTGATCGACCTACTCCAGAAATTTCAGCAACCTTACATACGATATTTTCTATAGCCAATCCACTATTCTCTTGCATCTGGTTCTTGTAGATATTTAGAATAATTTGTTTTTCACATGCGCTAAGATGAAGATTTTTAGCCCTTTTTCTGGGTGACGTTAAGCTGATTTCAACCACTTCATCAGCTGTATCTGTGTCAGACATTTTAGACTAATATTAAATTTCCGCAAGAAAAATCAAGTCAAGACGTGCATAAAATGATCGCGCTCATAAACGGGTATCCGTAACTGATTACAATCCTGTGCGTGGTGACGAACCATCAACGTGACGCTGAGAGTTCCCTCTACTATGCAGCGTTGCCAGGCATAATGTCACAATGATCATGTTTTATTGGGAAAATTGTCAGAAGTCGCCGAATGTTGAACAGAAACATTACAAGAAGTCTAACCTTGAAATGTGAGGCTACAAATCGATATTCTTATAGGGGGGAAGGGTAGGGAGCTGTTATGGTTCCTATTAACCTTGGTGAAAGTTGGAAACGGTAATATCATATATGGCATATATTCGGTTGAAGGTGTGTGCACGGAAAATAGATTGCGGATAGGATTTTAATAGATAAATCTGCACAAAAAGACATAAAAGGAGATTTTTGTATTTCCCTGAAGAATATCTCAAGGTTATTTCAGATGTACTCATCGAAACTTTATGGAAGGATTATCGAAACCTTATTTTCAATTGCGATAGGTCCACATACCTCGACATCGCATTAATGTGAAAAATAAGACAATACAAAAAAAATTCCCTCACTGATGCTATCTCTTAGGAAAAATTTAACTATAAAGATTGCACAAAAATTTTCTTCACCTTTTTGAGCTTGTTTTCGTATATGCCGTTCATAATTTGCTGCAGATCAAATTGGAATATACCTTTGTGATGCCATTTATTGTTATATAATGTCCTTTACAACAGTTATTG